TGATTCGCCTATTGCCATTAGGAAAGGAACCAAAGAATGTACCAAGCATCCACTATACCCAATATCTAATTTTGTGTCATTTGAAAAATTCTCACCATCCCACAAAAATTTTCTTGTGAGCCTAAACACTATTTCAGTTCCAACTACATTATCCGAGGCATTATCCAATGAGAAATGGAGGCAAGCCATGAAAATAGAAATGGAAGCCTTAGAGAAAAATCAGACATGGGAACTGGTAGAGTTGCCTAAAGGAAAAAATTCAGTGGGGTGTAAATGGGTTTTCACCGTAAAATACAAGACAGATGGTACTGTTGAAAGGTATAAGCCAGGTTAGTGGCTAAGGGCTACACTCAAACCTCTGGAGTTGGATTACCAGGAAACCTTTGCCTCCAGTTGCCAAGATGAATCAGTTAGGATTTTGTTATCATTGGCTGCAAATTACAATTGGCAGCTTCAACAATTTGATGTAAAGAATGCTTTTCTAACATGGTGATTTGGAAGAAGAAATATATATGAAGGTTCACCGGATTTTGAGGTCATCTAGAAGTAAAACAAAGTATGCAGGCTAAAAAAGGCTTATAATGGCCTTAAACAGTCTCCTAGAGCTTGGTTCGGGAGATTTGCCAAAGTGATGCTAGCAATGGGATATAACAGAGTCAACGGAGATCACCCATTGTTTATCAAGCACCCTTCTGATTCAGGGAGAGTCACAGTTTTATTAGTGTATGTTGATGATATAATTGTAACTGGAGATGATGAAAAAGAGAGAGAATCTCTAAAACAGTGTTTGGCTAGAGAATTTGAGATAAAAGAGCTAGGGAGATTGAAAGTACTTCCTAGGAATTGAAGTAGCTCACTCACGGCATGGTATTTTTTATCTCACAACAGAAATATGTGATAGATCTTTTGAAGGAAACTGGGAGCTTGCATGTAAACCTGCAAATACCCCTATGGATCCTAATCATAAAATTGGAGAAGCTAATGAAGATGCTGTTGTAATAGAGAGATGTACCAAAGATTAGTTGGAAGACTCATTTATCTCTCACATACTAGACTGATATAGCATATGCTGTGAGTGTGGTAGTCAATTTATGCATAGTCCTAAGAAGTGCAACCTACGGCTGTTCTACCGTATATTGCACTATTTGAAGGCCAATCCCTGGGAGAGGTACCTTATTCAAAAGAAATTCAGGGTTAGTTCTAGAAGCTATACAAATGCTGATTATGCAGGTTCAGTAACTGATAGAAGATCCACCTCAGGGCTACTGTACTTTCTTAGGTGGTAATATCTTGTGACTTGGAGGAGTAAAAAACAGAATGTCGGTGGCAAGATCAAGTGCTGAAGCAGAGTTCAGAGCAATGGCTCAAGGGATTTGTGAACTACTATGGTTAAAGATTATCTTAGAAGACTTGAAGATCAAGTGGGATGGACCAATGAGACTCTACTGTGATAACAAGTCTACAATAAGCATTGCACACAATCTGTACAAATGACAGAACAAAACACATTGAAGTAGACCGGCATTTCATAAAGGAGAAACTAGACAGTGGGTTGATTTGTACACCTTATACATCAAACCCAAGGGTCAACTTGCAGATGTGTTGACTAAAGGTCTCAGCAATGCAACATTTCAAGGAATTATTTCCAAGCTGGGAATGGAAACACCTTTCACACAGCTTGAGGGGAGTGTGGAAAACACTTATTTACAGCTGGTTGTAATCTTGTTAATCTGTATATTTATATTTGTATCTCTAGAATTAAGTATTTGTATCCCTAGAATTAAGGAAGATTTAGTTTCCTAGTTTAACCCCTAGTTAGTTGTATATAAACATAAGATTCTTGTATAATTCATATAAGCAGTTTTTCAATATACATTCAGTTTCCACACATATTTCTCTCTAACATGAATACATCAAGAATTAAATATCTTATAGATGCCAAATACCACTATAGGCCACTAGTTAGTCCTCCATCTCAGATTAAAGTAAACTTGGAGATGATTTAATTTAACTTATCAGCCATACACACAGAATCATGAAAAGCCATACTTCACAAGTAGAAAAAATGGGTGTAACATGTACATGAAAGTAGATGAGATTTTGGCAATAAAATAAGCAGAAGGAAAAAAGAAGTTAAGAAGAAATGGGTAGGTTTTCTAATTGCATGGGAAAAAAATTAGAATTAATTCAAAAAAGGGACCCCATTTATAAAGAAGGTAAAGGCATTAAAAATCTTTAATTTTTGTATATTTAATTACTTTATTTGGTTTATGGATAATTTCACTAACTGTGTTGGCATCTGGTTAACAAGTGACATCAAATCAGTCACTCCCATTATACGTTATTATAAATTCTAAAATTTTGAATGTCTGTATAATGAAGTCAACTCCTGTGAAATTACAGCCACATCCCACATACATTTGCATGCAAAAAAAAAGAGTTGAAGTACATGACCAATACCTTATATAAAAGCATTTCACCATGCTCACAACGTTCATTATCTGCTGGATAATCATCTTCTAATGTCCCTTCAAATGCTTCCAAAATTTCAACTGCTTTTGCACCACTAATATCAACCAAAAAATGGAATACAGCATAAATACCTAAAGGATGAATGAAATTAATAAGACTTCATTCACTTAGAACTACTTGGCTACGACAGGGACAGAAAAGGAAAACCCTCGTAACTGTTGTGCCAACAACTTCAATTCATTCATATATAAAGCCAAAATGAAAATATGGCATCATCATTGTCTCCATATAAAACTATAGCAAAAACAACAGAACTCTGCAGTTAACTGGCATTGGTTTGTAAAAAGGCTAATTTGCAACCCAAATTTCATAAATGCAAGTGCAACCAGCTTAGAATAGTAGGGTACCTATCTATCTACCCACCTATCTATACATATTAGAACATCTTTAACACATTCTACACCCACCCATATATTGTCATAAAAGAGTTTGATATCTTTATTGGATGTTTAGTTGAAGTCATACAAACATATGACCACGTGTTAAAATCAACAGTAATTTCATCCATGTTTAGCACCCATTTGATCATATAATTAGAAACATTAAGTCTGATTAAGCATTTAATTTAAAGAAAGGCTTTCATTATATCAACAAATATTTCAACTTTCATACCAAAGGCCTTCAATTTGGACCTTCAAGTATACCATAACAATAACAACACTCTAAAACATGTTTCACAAAATAAAAGTCAACAGAATTGGTGAAAGTTAGCATAAGATTGGAACAAATTTTTTAAGAAAAAAATAAAGGACAAGTATGTTGAGTTTAAATGGTGGGCTACCAGCAAAGCCAATCAGTTCATGCGATGATTTGGTTTCAAAGTGCAAAAGTTGTTGTCTTGTATCAACAAATCCCTGTCAAATCTCGCATTTGTGCCTGCATGCAAAAGATAAAACATAAATGTAATAATTTCTGATACAACCTGAAACATGACAATGAGAAAACATAAACCATGATCAAAATCAAAAAATTTCTCTTAAACTTCATATCTTAGTAGAAAGACAATGCTCATCATCTTCATACTTTTTCCTTTTAACTTTTCAAGCATATAAACCATAAATAAGGGGGGGGGCACAAGTAAGTTAATGCCAACAAATGACTTAATCATCTGAAATCATGAGTTAAGAATCCATAATATGGCAGCGCTAAAGCATCGAGGGAGAATAATAGAAATGAAAATCATCAATTTCAGTATCAAAGACGCCGACTTTGTTACTATTCTGGAGGCAGTAAAGGCACATGGGCAGATGAAATTAAGAGAAGAACCGAACCAGATCTGATCCAGAAAGTATAAACACTTTCTAATTGCAAAAGGTCATTAATGTTAAAACTTCAACCATTAAGGAACTAGTAGAATGAGACAGGAAAAGGTTCTGTGGCGGTAGACCAGAAAGTATCAATTCAAGGTGGTTGATTCTTACAGGATAATGAGAATGAAAGGATCAAATCAGACTGGTTGCTTCTGATTATATTACTTGTCATTCTATAAACACTTTCAACACATTAAGGAACTAGTAGAATGAGAGATAAAAGGATCTGGTGCGATAGACCAGAAACTATCAATTCAAGGTGGTTGCTTGTTACAGTATAATGAGAACGTAAAGGATCAAATCAGACTGGTTTCTGATTATATTACTTATGTTTTAATTTTTGGCGTGGTGCCTCAAAACAAAACCTTCAATTAAGATACTAAATCTGAACCATCTCTCATATTAATCTGCTGCCAGAATATCAGATGATGTCTGTTATATCCTTTTCCTTCCCTAAAGCCATAAATTGTTTCTACCAAAACTATGATCTAAATTTTCAAAGTTATAAAACCAGCTGACTCATCTACTTTCTAAGTGTTTAAGAAGATATTTTTTTCATGGTCTCATACAGCCTCTCCCTTTTAGTTGAGTTATCTCCATAAATTCCATTCCTCTGTTTTAAGCCAAATATCTTCGTCTCTTTTGTTACTATCTTAATATAATTATGCCTTTTCCATCCATCTACTAGTAGATTCCGTCAAGCAACTAAACAGCGTCAAATTTCATAAAATTTATTTTCACTTCACTACTAACTATGTAGCTGATCTTGGTGTTTTCATCCAGTTATATTAAGTTACCACAATGAACCTGCCCTTACCAACTACCACATAACTTACAGTTGCACAAAAGTTGGCACCAAACTATTTTAGTTGCAATATTGACTTGCCTATAAGTACCTAATACTTAGGATTCTCAAATTCTACAATGGAATCTGAAAAATCTTTTAGGCAAACCACAAAGCTTACAAGAAATCTTATACAGAGAAACTCCTTTAAATGTTCGAAAAATACCATGACAAGCAAATGTTCTTACTTAACATTAAGCATACAACAGATAAACATCTTAGATTTAACACTGAGTCTAGATGTACAAATCATAGAGAAGGAAGGTAAATAAGGTATACCTGCAAGAGTGACAAGTCCGTAGTATTTCAATGTTGTCTGGATCTATTCTCAAAGCGTTGCGATAGCATTTGATAGCCTCCCTGTATTCTCTATCTGACCGATAGAGGAGACCATAAACGTGCCAGCAAACATGACTTTTTACATCATTCTACATTAAGACACAAACATGAAAACAATGCTAGGAAAAAGTGACACTGCTTTGACATTATAGCAACCAAAAGAAAATAAATAAGATAACCTTTACACCTAGCCGAACAAGCTCATAAGCTTCAGTTTTCCGATCCATGCAATTTAAGGTTAACCCCTTCATTGACAATGTTTCTGACAATAATGAATAAAAGCCCATATAAACATACAAACACACAAACAAACAGTTACCAGATAGTATAAAATATTACTTGGAACTGCATATTTAAAAGGATGGATATATTAAACAAAACGCTACTACACTCTACCAATACCGCACACTAATGAATATTCACAAAACCCAACCAAGATGAAGAAGGTATTCAAATATTGCAGATTTCAAACTGTATAGGTTAAAAATGTAGTTATATACCCGAAATTAAAGCAATATATTCAGTTGATAGAGAATATCTCCACATTGATACTGCTCGAATGTTCCACTTATCTCTAGAACCATCATAAATCATGGACTAGTCACCATACAGCTAGTGCTTTCAAAAATGCAATTGACATCAATCATAAGACATGAGAAAAGAACATACAGTCTACAGAAACAATCATGTCAAACTTAGAGGCATTCTTGTAAGGATTATTGAAACCAATAACCTTGATAACAACATAAACTATCTAGTGACAGCCCCTTTTTCCTCTAAGTGTAAAGTTCTTTTGTTTGAGTTCTTGCATCTTTATACAGGTACATTTACAAGAACCATGCAAACATAAACACTAAACGATAAGTGCCTCTCAGACAAAAAAATAAATAAATAAGTGCTTAAAATTAAACTACCTCCATGGTCAGGAAACTTTTTCAGTATTGCATCTGCAGCCTTCAGTTTTTTGTACTGTTTAGTTTCATATGATTTCTGCAATGATAAAATATACAAGAGCTTTAGCAATAGCACATGGACCTCCAAAGCAATAAAATTCAGTTATGAGAATTAGCTAGAGTATAATAACAGAAAAATATTAATTACATAAAATCAGGCAAAAAACTGTGTCAAGAGTCCATTACTATAGAAGTTAAAATAGAGTAAGAATTCACCCGTCAAAACCCTAGTTTTCACTATAAATTAGAAGAAATAAGAGGGAAGGGGGAAAACTCTCAATAGCGTGTGGAAAACATCCAAATGTTGCTATTCTATATCTAATACGAACAAGTTTTTAAAATATATAAATATTCAAGTTTAACCAGCAAAGCCTACAATTACATTAAAAATTGTCCAGTCAATTTATCAAATTCTTAAATAGATTGTTTCACAAAGTTTGTTATTGTCTTGAATGTTATGTGGCATAAAAGCCAGAATGCCAAATTGTTTCCCATTAGGAACCAAAAAATTCTATTTTAAAAAGATGGCAACATA